TTCTTGACTTTGACTTGGATCTCGATTGAATCATGGACTTTATTTCCCATCCATTAGATCTTCCATGCCCAATATACCCTCAGTTGTATTTTCTTGCTTGGATTTATCTTTTTTTTGTGTTTATTTTGAATTTAGCACATCCTTTTTCTACTGTTAATGACTATTCTTTCATCTACAACTTCTCAAATCACCTCATCTTCAAGATTGAACCTTTCTTCTAATTTTTTGATTGCTTCCGATAGAACCACATCCTAGCCTTGGTGCATAAGGACTACCTTCATTTTCATCCTCTAAAGCTTGAAATCATTGAAACTTATGAATTTTTCAATCTCAATCTTGGTCATGGACATATTCCTTATTTTTCATTCATCCCCCTAATTGGTAGATTTGATACCACTTGTTAAAACCACTCAACTATAGCTTTGAGACTAACCGCACCTGGTTCCTGAAAAGAACTTGGAATCATAGGAAATAGCTGCTGAAGACTTGCGTCTCCTTTTCTTGATGCTTGAAGTTGAACCAGGTAAAATCCTCCATTAACTTTTCAACCTAAGAAAACTTATGTAGAAATAAATTTAGTCTTCAATAAGCACAAAGTCCTTCCAGCAGCCTTGCCTCCACTCAGTTATTTGGGAACTTGTGCACCCTCAAACCAAAAATCAAAAACACCGGGTGAGAAGAAAACCAAAAATGGACTAATAGAAGTAGAAAATGTTATTCATCGGAGGAATCAAAACAATTATGTGTTTAATCTAAAAGGGTATAGAAATACCCCTCCTATTTAGAAACAAAAGCAAAACTGATACAAACAAATAGTGAATAAAAGAGCCAACGCAACAATATCTTTATCTAAATCCTTATGTTGGAAAAAAAAGATGCTTGAGTTCAATGCAAACATGTAACTGCAGTACGAGTAATACATGTCTCAGAAGTCTACTTTGTGGAAAACTTTTACTAGTTGATCATACATCGGTTAAAATATTCATAGATGAAATGTTTGAATACTTTGTGGAAAATATTTACTAGTTGATAATATTTTTTCTACTATTAGATTAAATAAAAAAAATACATTTCAAAGATAAAAATATTTTTATTTATTTATACTCTGAAATAACTGGTTCAGTTCGGTCGGTTGAAGTGAATCGGCACTAGTAGCAAATGAACAAACTCGAGCAGATCATGAGTAGAACCGCGAACAGATTGAGCCGCCCGCATGCATGAATTCTCCAGACGGAGTCGGATATCGCCGTTGAGTGGAAAATCATGTGCGAGAGTGAAATGTAGCGACTCCTTGTGAGTAATATCTCCGTTTCACTCACTCCCGTAAGGGCAAGTCACGTGAGGAAGTTTCAGTCGAGGAAACCGACCTAGAAAAAGAAGGAAGTTTGGTTTTTTTTTTCTTTCAATTTCATTTATTTTGTCCAAATTTATTTTTGTGATTTAATCCTACATAAGGATCAATTGTCTTAAATGAAGGCAGATGAAGAAATTGAGAAAGAAAGTGAAGGAAGTTTGGAGAGAAGAAAATTATGGGAAAGAATGAAATAACGAAGGAAAGTGTAAGTGATTTAAATTATTTTACATTCAAAATTATTATTGTGAATTTCTTTAATCGATAAAAAAATAATGGATCGTCAAATAGGAAGAAGAAAACTTGTGGTGAATTTTAACTTTAAAGAGGAAGGAAGAAATTTTAATCGAGGTACTCAATTTTGATTAGAGAATTAGGTAGAATATGAATTTTGTTCAATTTATGGAAATTTAGAAGTTTTTTTCATTATATAAATGATAACCAATGCATTCAAAGTTACACTTAAGGATGTTAGTCAAATCAATTTAATGTTGTTTTGGAATTATATAACTCTCCGGTGCTAAGTAATGTAATTAAATGTTAATGTCAATAGTGGAAGATTTCATTGTTGGGTTGAGAAGAGTACTGGAAGTCTATGACAGAGAATTGAAGATTTGGAAGGATTTGAATGTACGCAAGGCAAATAAAATGGGTAATTACTGTTATTTTTTAGACATTACATAATTTTACTTTATTATATATAGTCTCCTAGAGTCTTGGCTATTTGTTCATTATAAATATTTGAAAGTTATTATATTCATAATAATGAATGATAAAGTTAGCCATTAAAGTGAGAGGATTGAAAATATATGGGAAGCAAAAGAAAGCAACTTTATAAATGTATACATATATTCTTTCAAAGACATATAAAGACAAACATATAAAGTCAAATGTAACAAATGTAAAAATAAAAGGAAAAAAATGTATATACATACAAATTACAGGAGTTCACTCCTATATGGTATTAACTAGTTTGTGACAGAAGTGATATTAGAGGCCAAATAGAATATAAATCGTACTGAAATAGCCATTAGGTTGATTATTAAAGTTAATGAATATGATTTTCTAATAAATTGTGAATTTACAATAAATTTTAATTGTATTTTAGGACTCAGAATGATCCTGAAGAAGATGTGGAAAGGACAGTGCCTAATTTGCTGTTAACCCTGATGCAGTGACACAAATGATAACAATAATGAATTAACTAATTCATGACTCAAGAAATCAACCATGAAGAAGTGGTAGTGACAGTAGTATGACGATGGATAAGTATTTAAATCTTTTTCAGGATATGAGACCACTATTATTTAAAGGGTTAGATGAATCAATTGAGGCAGGGAACTGATTATTACGGATTACGAAGAGTTTAGAGATGTTCTGTCTAGAGGAGAGAAAAGTTTCTTTGGTAACCTTTGTACTTGATGGCAATAGTGAAAGATGGGGGGGGTGTCAACATCAGGATAGATTTGGAGGGTTGCCTAGCTTTCAAATCAAGTGAGATGATTTTACTCAAGTTTTCCGAAATTGGTTTGTGCCTCTTTTTACGAGGAAGCAAATGATTGATAATTTTTTAAGGCTGGTGCAAGGAGATAGATCTGTTATGCAGTATGAGGTTGAATTCACTATATTATCTAAATATGCTTTTCAATTAGTACATACTGCAAAAGAAAAATGTCATCAGTTTTTATTTGGGTTGAAAGATGCAATTAGGCAACCTCTTGTTCTTCTAGGGATTGAATATTTTATTTTACATCATTTGATTTTTACTCTTATTTTAATCCTTATATTTCCCTCAAGTACTATGGAGTTTCTATCTAAATTCCAACACTTCATTCTCTTGTTCTCCCCAAGTTTTGTAAGATAGCCAAAATCTATCCTAATCAAGCCATCCATCCTTTTTTCACACACATACCGAAACTTCTACATAACTGGCCCTATCAACTTACATCATTTGCCTTGCATCCCAAGCTATTCATATAATATTTATGCTTATCATATCTCTCTATCTAACTTCCTCTTGAGAGAAACATAAATTTAGCACCTAAAAATTAGCTTAAACTCCACTATCCCTTGTTAGGTCTTAGCCAGCCTTTGATTTCCACTTTCGTAAAGCCCTCCAAGTCCCAAATCACATCCATTGGATTTTCTTAAATTCTCTCAAACCTAATAAAATCTACCGCCTCAACCTTTTACTTGAAAGTCCACCGTATACCATATATAACTATGGCACTTCTATGCCACGCAACTTGGTGAAAACATGTTTTTTTAAGGAACTAAGATCACAAGGATCCCTTGCTCATTAGAGCTTGATTCGTACTCCCCTATGATGCACTGACAGTTCTCCTCAAAGGGGCATGCAGTGTCCGACACCGTATCCGACACCACACTCGTCCGACACTCCTCCGACACGCCGAAAACGTGTTCAATTAAAAAATATTAAATACAAATTGGACACCCGTGTCCGACACGCGTATCTTAAATATTTTATGAATTTTTTTAAATATAATTTCTTATATTTTGCGGGATTTAAATTAAATTTCTTATTTCATATCCACAACACTAAATCAACTTCTGCATTTAATACCCAATCATCAAATATTCTCATTTTCATTTCTTTTTGGCAGTGAAGGTATTTTCATCTCCTCTCTCGGTGACTGATAAATGGCATCGATGCCTGACTCTCGACATCCTAATACTAATCATTTTAAGCACAAATTCTAGTTAAATGATTTATTATTTTTATAATTATACTTATTTAATTTTTATACACTATTTTTTATATATAAAAACTATAATACCGTGTCCAACCCGTGTCCGAGTCCTATATTTTCAATAACTGACATGTCCCGTGTCCATGTCGTGTCGTATCCGTGTTGCCGTGTCTGTGTCTCATCATAGGTACTCCCTAAAGCAGCTTTTGTAATACTTGTCCCAATTTTTCCGTTCACTTCTGGTATGCTGTTGAAAAGGGCACTCGGTCTTTGTGATTAAATAACCAACATTGTTTTTGCAAACTTCTCTGAAATGAAGGTATTAAGTCTTCCTTCCTGTAAATGTGTTGAGTAGAGCTGTAGTAACTTGTTTGTGGTCATCTATTTACTTTCTTATTGAACTCTGGTCAATTTGAATGTGATCTAAGTTGTAAGATATTTATGACTTTATGTGAAATTCTAGCTGCAGTCATACTTAGATCTAACTTAACTAAATGTTTGTAAGATGAGAATGATTAAGATCAGGTTGATATCTGCATATCTACTACTGCACATTCAAAATAAGCCTACAATTTCTTATAATATTTATATTATATGTTGATGTGTTTTCCATTCATATTGATCAGTTTCACAAGTCTTATATTTAGCTATTTTGGTTGAGTTTTCTGAATCCATAACGTTTTTTTTAGTTATGAAGTTTCCAGTTGCATGATCAATCAGTCTTGTAACTATCAATTGAAATTGACCTCAAGTTATATATTTCATCTCAAAAAATAATGCATTTTAAGAGACAATAATACATTTTTTCCTTTTTTTTTTCTTTGTGTTTCACTTCTCTTTTAATTTAAGCATTATTTAACTTATTTTTCATTTGGTGAAAGATAGACGTTAGGTTATGCTTTGATTTTTTCCTAGCCTTAACATGTTTTTGTGGTTAGATTGAACTCTACTGAGGAAATTGTGAGAGTTGCTATGAAGAAACTAACCCAGGGGATGGCAGATCACAACAAGGCAATCTCTGCAGCTAAGACTGAAGATGAAAAGGCTAAGATTGTAAGTTATTGGTAACCAGCAGTTGAATGGTTAATGCTACGAGCTAAATCACTCTTCAATGTCTTGCAGAAAGCTGAGCAGCAGAAAGCCACCAATGGGCTCCGGGTTTGCAACAATATACTGATCATGACACTGGTAAAGAGAAGATCAGTCTTTTCATTGAATTATTTCCTTGTTTGGAACTAATTTCGCCTACTCTTCTTCTGTAGCCATTGCATGCAAAATCTCCTTCATTTATTGGTGATAACAAGATAAACCCGTCATGGAAGGAACATAGAAAAGTGACACCAACAGCAACTGCCGGGCAAGTTTATTTTGTTAATTGTGTACTCCTACTTGTGCTGCTTCTATGACATGTTTGGTTGCTTGTGTAGATAGAAAGCTCAATTTTGAAATGCTAGAATTTATTAAATTCTATTATTTTGTGAAATGTGATTCAAAATTAATATGGAATTTTGAAATCAAATATAATGATCTCATTTATGCAGAAAATCAATGAAAATGAAACTATTATTCTTTAAATATGTTTTATTTTTTCAACAACAACAACGACAAGCCTTTATCCCACTATGTGGGGTTGGCTACATGAATCTTTTTTCTCCATTGTTCATGTTAAGAGTCAAATTCTCGTCTAAATCTAATAAAAAAATGTCATTTCTAATATTTCTAACCAAGTCCTTTTAGGCCTACCTCTACCTTTCTTAATATAAGTCAAATCTAATACATCTACTTTCCTAACCAGGTCATCGAAAGGCCGCCGTTTTATGTGACCAAATCATCTAAGGCGACTCTCTCTAATCTTATCTTTTACTGGGGCTACTCCAACCTTTTCATGTATTTGCTCATTTCGTATCCTGTCTCTAAGAGTAAAGCCACTTATCGACCAGAGCATCCTCATCTCTGCAACACTGAACTTAATATTATGCTTTTCTTTTAATGGCCAACACTCTGCACCATAAAGCATTACAGGTTTCACTACCATATTATAGAATTTTCTCTTAAGTTTGAGAGGTACTTTCCTATCACACAACAAGCCCAATGAATCCTCGCACTTTAACCATCCAACTTGAATTCTACTAATAATATCCCCATCTATTTCACCATAACTCTGAACAATAGACCCAATATATCTAATATGTGTACTCTTATTACTGAGTTGATCACCCAAAGTCACAATCCCCCACCAGATCTATTATTATTAAAAGTACACTCCATGTATTCAGTTTTAGATCTACTCAAATGAAAGCCTTTAGACTCTTAGGTTGACCTCAATAATTCAAGTTTACCTTCAACTCTCTTTAGTCTTATCATCAAGAAGAATATCATTAGTAGAAAGCATAACCTCTTGCAAATGTCTAGTGAGAACATCCATGACTAAAGCAAAAAGACATGAGCTTAAGGCTGACCCTTGATGTAATCCAACTGAAATAGAAAAATACTTGGTCAAACCACCTTGTGTTTGAACACAAGTAATAACTCTTGCATACATATCCTTAATGACTTGAATATAAGCATTATTAACCCCTTTCTTATGTAGAACTCTCTATAGCACTTCTCTTGAAACTTTATCATATGCTTTCTCCAAATCAATAAAAATCATATGTAAATCCTCCTTATTCTCTCTATATTTCTACATTAAATCTCTAAATAAATGTATAGCTTCCATAGTAGACTTGCTTATCATAAATCCAAATTGATTTTGAGAAACATTAGTGTCATGCCACAACCTATGCTCCATAATTCTTTCCATAGTTTTAAAGTAAGACACATTAACTTAATTCCTTTATAATTCACACAATCTTGTGCATCACCTTTATTCTTCAAAATAAGATCAATACACTCGTTCTTCACTCATCTGGCATTTTTTAGTCTTTAGAATAATATTAAAAAGTTTAATAAGCCATGAAATTTCTTCATCTCCTAAGTATTTCCACACCTCTATTGGAATATCATCAGGTCTAACAGTTTTTCCACCCTTCATTTTCTTCAAAATATGTTTTCTATCTACAATCAGCCAAATTGGTTACCTAGTTATTTTAGGGTTGGTTTTGTGACTCATTTTTCATTTGTTCTTGCTAAGTGTTATCTGAGGTATCAAATCATTTGAACAATTTTTGTTCATGTAATCTTTAGTTTACTCCGTATACTTAATCCTAAGATGCTAATTTAATTTAATGGGCTTATTTTCTATCATTAGTTATAAATGTTCAAACATTTAAATCTAATTTCATTTACTTTATCTTCTATTATTGTCACCCTAATAGTTCGTCTGATATAATCATTCCTAATTTGTCAAGCATCCATTTCAATATTCTATTTTTGTCATTCTCAACTTAGATATCATTGATTGTTTTATTGTAGACACTTGGATTCATTTAACATCATTGAGCTTTAATAAAAAATTCTTTTAGTCTCCATAATATCCTATTATCACAAAATACTCTTGATGCACTTTTTTATTTTTTAATCATTCAATGTTATGCTTAATACTTATATCTTCATTTATATTAAAGATGTAGAAATTTTGAGTAATAGGTATACATTTCCATTGCTGTTATTCGTAGCAGTTTACATGTGTATATATACAAAATGGTCCTCTTTATTTCAGTTGAATCAATAAAGAAAATAACAAAATACATCTTTATTTTGATTCAAAATTTAACTGGATTAAAGGAATTGATAAGCTTTCAATTGAAGCAAAAAACAAGAGAGCAATAACGACCCTAGACGAAAGGCAACATTTGCAGAATTCAGCTATTTCCACACAGCTATATTTCTAAATCTGCTAACAGGAAATCTTAGGTTAATTATCGGTTATCCATAGGCTTCCTTCCTTCCAAATGTGCTTCAGCATGTAATTTGAGGAAAGCTATGTTTCTTTTACCAGAAAATTAAAAATTTGTAGGCTTCCTAATAATGTCAGCCGGGTAATCCGCTGGAGCAAATCCTAGACTGATTCCCCAGGTTGGCCTAAATATGTTACTCATTCCTAGCTTGTTGGAATATAGATTTTCAAAGATTTACTTGGTAGAATTTCGGTTAATATATGAACAACTTGAATGCTGGTTGGAGTATAAAATAATTTGATAACATTATTATCAGTATTGTTTTTAATATAATAGCATTCAATTTCAATATATTTATTCATGTCATGTTGAACAATATTCTTATTAAGATAGGTAACAGATTGATCATCACAAATAAGATTCCTAATGTCTTTGATTCTCTGACCTTAAGCTCCTCGAGTAGTCTGTGATCCAATTTCTTTCATATTTTGTGTCATTGCACAAAATTTCGCTTTTGCTCTACTATTGTTCCACACTATACTCGAATGTGAACCTCATATACAGAACAAGATATTTCTCTCTCAATTTGAGCTTTTTTGATTAGGAAGAACCCACCCTTTTTTGAGTCAACTTAAGATAATTTCAAAATTTTGTACACAACGTTCACGTGTTTCTTCATTGAGTCATTTATAAATTAGCTTACAACACCAACGAGAAAAAAGAAAATTGAGTTGATTACTAGTAGTCTAGTGGCTTCCTTCCTTCCACATATGCTTTGGCCTGTAATTTGTGGACGGAGCTATGTTTTATTGGGAAATTAACCACTTTTGGGACTCCAAATTAGTTGCAAAAATTAATATGTGGAAATTTAGACCAATTCTCTACAAATAATTATGATACTAGGCTAGAAGGAAGAGGCAGTGGAAGGGTTCAATTGACATATTTTAGGAAATAAATTCTAAATTTAAATTCTTTTAACGAGTATATCAAAATAAATGGTAAGTAAATAGAATCACAAATGCAAGGTGGGTAAAGAAAAAAAAAATGTCAAGATTTATATTTGTTTTGTTACTAAATCAATATTTTTCTACATTTTTCTAAATTCCTGATGATAATCTTCTCAAAATTTTTACATTTTTCTAAATTCCTTATGAATAATCTTCTCTTTATCATGAAACTTATTTCTGTTTTTGCTTCCCTTGCAGGGTTAAGAGAACTGTTGGTCCTTCTAGTGGTACGGGTTTGGGTAGTCCTGCAAGTAAAATGGCCCGTGGTGGAGGCATGCAAAACCAAATTGTTAACAGAGCATTGGAAGGTTTATCTCATGGTGGGAGAAGCAGTGGAAGAGGAAGGGGTTTTGGAGGCAGAGGACGGGGAAGAGGTTACCGTTAGTCCCTGAATCACAAAATTTTTCAACGAGTTCCGTCAATCCCTATTGATATCCTTCCTCTCCATAGAGTCTATTTTTTACTGTGACGAATTATGGGGCTTGTTCTCTTGCTCATCAGTAAAACCAGGTTATATATCCAGTATCAGCCTATAATCATCATGTATGATGCCATGCAATTCCATCTTTGAGAAATCATCATGTTCTGAATTTGTAATATTCCAACTCTCATCCTTTTATTTTGCTTGCTCATTGTAGTCGATGATAGAAGTTAGTTGTGGAATTATTACTTTTAAGTGTGGTTATTATTGGTATTTAGTTAACTTTAATACTTATGAGCTTGGAATAGAGGGAAGTATTATGGCTCTGTAAGCAGAAGTTAGCATGAGCAAGCTGAGTTCAACTTGTATTTGTTGTTTGAGATGCTGACTTGATTTATGATTGTTGATTTTGTTCAATGATTTTTATCCTTCTGTTAACCTCTGTGTTTAGCACAAACGAAACAAAAAAAAAAAATCAGAAAAAAACAAAACCTCGTATCCCTTAAATCCCGCACCTCGGACTGTCGTATCCGCTCGAAATCCTGCCTGAAATCCCGCTGAGACACCCTGCGACAGCGCCGATTCACGTCGAATCTCCGCACCTCCTGCGCAAAAACTGGCCTCGATCGCATCCCGGATCGTTCCTTTAAAACGAGAGGGCAACCCCCTCATTCGGTGCTCTCCACGGCTCTCTCCCGATCCCACACACACGAGCTCTCGATCTCAACTCCATTCGCTGCTTCTCCGCTTCTCCTCCCGATCCCACAAGCCCCGGCCAACCTCCTGATCCCTCAGCCGTCCCGACCTCCTCCGATCTCCATCCAGCTTCCACGACCTCCGCCTCCCTCCAGTTCGCAGAGAGAGAGAGAGAGAGAGAGAGAGAGAGAGAGGAGAGAGAGAAAGAAGAAAAGAAGAAGAAGAGAGAGAAGCTTCTCTCTTACCGTAGCCGCCGACCTCCTTGCTCGACGCCGCCTCTGCCTGAAGGATCGGAAGTTACGCACTTTTGATCGGAAGCAAGAAGCCGAGCCGTGCCCTTCTCCCCCTTGGCCGATCGACTTCGCTCCTCAGACGACTTTCCCTACCTGTCTGGACGGAAGTTACGACATTTTGATCGGGCTCAAGAACAAGAGCTCGCGTGCTGTAAGGGTAACTTTCTTCCCTTCGTATGCTTCTTCGGCCGAATCCCGTAAATCCCCAAACCGAAAGCAAAAAGGGGGGGGGGGAAGGATTTAATTAATTTTTATTAATATTAATTATATTTAATTATAATTATAATTAATTATTTTATTATAATTAATTAATAATTAGTAATTAATTATCAGTTATAATTATTAGTTAATTATAATTAATTTCGATTAATTATTAATTAATTACTAATAATTATATATTATAATTAATTTGATAATTATGGTTAATTATAATTAATAATTATTGTAAATTATAATTAATTAATTATTATTATAATTGATTATTTTATAAAAAAAAAATGCTTACTTGCCGGGCCTTCCTCGACATCCGACGACCGCCGATCCGCCGGTTCACCGCCCCGAAGGTAATAACCCTTTGAACTCAGACTCCGTCCGACACGTGTACGACGGACCGGTTAGACCACCTAAGCACGCCTTTGTGAGCGTGGTAGGAGGAAATCCGGTCCGACGCCTACGACGAGGCGGACAGTCGCTCTCCCCTCTCGCTTTCTTACCTCGTCATGTGTGGCGAGTCAGTGTCTACCCATGCACGCTTTCTCTTAGCGTGGTGGAAGGCAAGTGGCGCGACACCTACGATAAGTGAGCGAGCAACCTTCGCCTCTTATCTCGACTAACGTAGGTCGTGCCGACGGTCTACCTATGCACGCTTTATTGAGCGTAGGTAGAGGGGCAACCGGCACGACATTATGTTGAGGTAAGCGAGCGACCACGCCTTCCTGTCTCGACATGCATGTCGGACGACAACCACCATAAGCACGCCTTTGGATGCCGTGGTAGGAGGGAAACGGTTCGACGCAACACGGCCGAGGCCAGGCGAGCCTGGTGTACCACTTTCTTTGCGCGGCCGAATGATTTATAAGTACCCCCGGCGGGGGGAAAGAAACTGCTCTCTTCTTGTAACAGGTACCTGTCAAAGACCCCATGCACGCCTTTATTTGTCGTGGTGGGAAGAAAAAATCACGGCCGAAGTGTCCGCGAAATGAGCGGCACCTACCTGCACCTTTATTGGCTTGTGGTGGGAGAGCCCAGTTTTCTCGTAGTTTTTCCCCTAAACGGGGGAGACGCCGGGAGGCTGCCGAAATTTCGGGGGAAATACTACTACACTTGGGACCTGTTTTGAACTCAAAAGAACAAAATATTTGGACCAAACAAGAAAGAGCGTGAACTTTTGAACTTGAGAACATGTGCATGTAGGATCAGATCCAAAATTCAAATGATTCCTAAAGGCCAAATTCAAATAAAATGAAAATCAAAGTTGGAACCCAAATTTGAGTAATTGAACATTCAATTGAACCAAAGGACGCAGAGGACATAGCACTTTGAACTCAAATCGGACTTGACTTGCACATCAAACATGATTCAAACATTCAAACTCAAGCGAGTACTTGAGTTGGGACTACAAGAACACAGAACTGAACTTGCCACATTAAGCTCATTTGAACTGATTTTTAAATGATCCTGAAGGGGCTTTGAACTTCGAGCCTGTTTGAGCATACATCGCCTCTCACATTCAACTCCAGTCAAAGCTACCACCTGAGATTGGTGAAAGGTGGAGATGACAAAATTGACAACGGTTCCCCTACGAATACTCCTACGAGCTCGTAGTGGCTACAACCGGTGTCCTTCCTACTATACTGTTGAATCTCCTATGATAATTTCCATACAACGCGGTTGTTGAGATGGCGATACGGGATCCAGGATGGAGGATCCGTCCTCTACGAACACATGCAACCCAACAATAACCACCCGAGATTGGTGGAAATGGGTGGATTACGATGCAGAAGCAATGGGTCCTCTATAATACTTCAGGAGGTCGTAGTGAGTACAACAGTCCTCTGCAATGGTTACAAACAACTTGTGATAACAATAGTGGATACATCGTAGGCACGACGAACCACTGTGGGCACAAGTATGAATATACACCTATAGCAACGATGATCAAGATCTTCAAGTATTTCGGTACAATAGCAACCGATGTACGAAAAACTCTACTACACTAAAGATCTTGAAAGAGATCTTCTCAAAGTGAAGTGACAATTCAGTGAACTTCAAGGTCCAAAGAATTCCTTCCCGGTGAATGAGAAAGGGGAGTAAATACATTAAGTCCAATACTCTAAAATCCAGAAAACCTTCCCCGGTGATTGAGAAAGGGGGAATTAATATCAAAATTCAACGCCACCGAATGCAACACTGATACAAGCAGACAGAAGGCGTCTACAATCTACAATTCCACGCCACCGGATCATGCAAATTCGTACAAGCAGACAGAAGGCGTCTATTTAAAGATACTCCTGCACGTGCACTATAATTGTATACCACATAGGTTACACTAAAGGGGAAAGTAACAATCTCAACCCCATGGGCCGAGCGAGCGTGTTATTGGATACACGTGACGTCTAGGGATTGCGCGGGTTGATAAGTGAATTCAGATTCGAAACCGATCCTTCTATACGAGTCAATAGAAGTCGACAGGGTTCGAACCATTAAACAAATATACAGTTGTGGCGACAAGTATATTTGCTTTAAAACATTCATTATGTCATCAAGGCTACAACAAATATGATCACTAACAAAGGCACAGAAGCCTAACAAAACCCGATCCTTTGTCAACAGCCCGACAGATGTTGACAAGGTTTGATCTACAAGGAGAATGGCTCCGAACACCCGATGATGGCCGTGTTGAATGCAGAGCTCAACCGAGGGTCCCAAATACTTTCAGTGGCTTTCAAAATCTATTTCAAATATTTCATAACTCCACCCAAATATCCACAAAAAATCCTAAAATTCAAGAAACTCCACAAAAATCTCAAAATCCCAAAAATATTTAAATCTGAAATCAATCCATCAATCACTCAAAGCTAAATCCATCCACCCTCCGCAACAGTCTGCCAGGTGGAAAATTCAAATAAATTCTAGCTCACAAAGAGCCAAATTGCCTAGTCGATAAATATCACTAGGATCCATTCTAAACAAATCTCCTGCCATGTAAAGGACGTGGTACGTTGTCCTCTAACCGGCGGTCTGCCGCTAAATGGCACCGCAGGATAAACGGTTACGACACCCGGGCCTCTGAACCGCGTGGTTTCGCCCCAAATGGCACCACGATATCTCGTTATGGCCAGAGCCCAATACGCTCCTTACTGACATCAAATCCTTGAGATATGAATTCAATGGATATGATCGATAGGCACAAGCCTCTGTTAGCTATAGGTGGATTCAAATTTGTCCCTTTAGATAAACATCCAACCCCGGTCTACAATGTCCCCTTGGGACGAAGCAACCCATGGCTGCGACAAGGATCCTTCTGTCAGGTTGGGTCGACTACCTCCTCTGACTAAGTAGACCAGGGACCACTGATGGCCCGAGGATGACGGAACATGGGATCTTGATCGGGTCCATCAATCCATTCCCCCACCATCCTTTAAGTGCTAGATGGTGAAATTTCTATTTTAAATATCCAACTCTCCAAATTCTCAAATCCAAATCCAGTTCTCAAATACCTAAATCAAAATCCAATTTCCAAATCCAATTTCTACCAGTATCCTAAACCATATGCTGCTACTTATGCCAGATGCACGTATTTCTATACGTATCTGTTGACGACTAGTCTTAATCGAAAGTTCTCTCTCGGATCGGGAGGGGTAATTAACTATAGGGGCTTGCGCCTATAGGAAACCAGAACTCAGATCATAAAGTCCTCACAAAATGAGGGCGAAATCTCTGGGTAGTGTCTTATCTACAAACCCATCTGCCTTCCAAAATTTACCTCGGAACTTAGTTCGTTAAAACTCCCTCGCCGAATAAGAAGAGAGAGCGGAGGCCGGGGCCGAATTTTTGGAGCCCACACCTTCCAGGGATCTTTTTCAGGGATAGAACTCTGCCTTATTGTTAAATACTCTTAGACTGATATTTTGAGTAATCTATGTCAAGGTTCTCGATACAAATCGAATGTTTGTTTCATCACATGTTCGCTCATTTAGTTCGCTTTTCATAAATTTGAATAAGATAAGATTGCTTAAAAGAGAAGGACGAATTTATGGTTTTCTGTGGGATGGCTTTTCTCTTATTTTTTTTTTAAAAATTTTAGTATAAAATTTTTTGAATTAAAAATTTTTATATTAAAAAGTTTAAGAAAACAACAAGAAAACTATTCTAAATTAAGCTTGTCATAT